GAGCACATGAGAGGGGGGAGGGTCAGAGGGAGAAGCAGACTCCCTGCCGAGCAGGGAGCCCGACACGGGACTCGATCCAGGGACTCCAGGATCATGACCTGAGCCGAAGGCAGTCTTAAACCAACTGAGCCACCCAGGCGCCCCAGGTGTAGAGATTACTTTAAGGGGGGGGGCATAGATAGGCATTTTTTGGGTAAGATATACCTGAAATGAGAGGCTTTCTTGCTCCCACAGAATTTAAAATTTGTCAGGACCGTCTGCCCCCAGTGTTAGATTCTTCTGTCGCTGGCTTTTGCCCCTCGTGAAACTACAACCCACAGAAGAGCCGTGCCAGTAGAAGTGTTTTGAAAATCAGAGCAACAGTTACAATGTTTACTTCTTGTCTGCGGAAGGCTTGCCCTGGAGTTTAGATTTTATTCACTATTAACTTGTAATATTGATCTTGTAATTTTGAAAAGAAGATGGATCTCTTTCCTCCTAGGGAGGCTGAAGCGCGTCCACTCATCCCTGCCCCCCCGACCCCCCGCCAGACCTCGGTACCTGCCCTTTTACGGAAGGGGCTGAGCTGGAGCCTCCTGCTGTCTCGGAGGAGCTCATGGTACAGGGAGTGTGTTTCTTTCTCTCTCCAGGTCATGGCTTCTGGCTTCTCGGACTTGAGGCTCCAGCGGAGGAAATGACCGGCAGGGACCTTGCTCCACGCCTGTTACGGACACTGAACCTTCGCAGGGCACGAGCTTGCCCAGCACAGGAACGTCTCTCTCTTTGAAGGGCTTTACAGTTGCCACAGAGACCGTGAAGATGGCGACTTCGTCTATCAGACGGCAAATGAAAAACATTGTGAACAATTACTCGGAAGCTGAAATAAAAGTGCGGGAAGCCACCTCCAATGACCCGTGGGGCCCGTCCAGCTCCCTGATGACCGAGATCGCCGACCTGACCTACAACGTGGCGGCCTTCTCGGAGATCATGAGCATGGTGTGGAAACGCCTCAACGACCACGGCAAGAACTGGCGGCACGTGTATAAGGCGCTCACGCTGCTGGACTACCTTATCAAGACGGGCTCCGAGCGCGTGGCCCAGCAGTGCCGCGAGAACCTCTTCGCCGTCCAGACGCTGAAGGACTTCCAGTACATCGACCGCGACGGCAAGGACCAGGGCATCAACGTGCGCGAGAAGTCCAAGCAGCTGGTGGCCCTCCTCAAGGACGAGGAGCGGCTGAAGGCTGAGAGGGCCCAGGCTCTCAAAACCAAAGAGCGCATGGCCCAGGTCGCCACGGGCGTGGGCAGCAACCAGATCACCTTCGGCCGCGGCTCCAGCCAGCCCAACCTCTCCACCAGCTACTCGGAGCAGGAGTATGGCAAGGCCGGGGGGTCGCCGGCTTCCTACCACGGCTGTGAGTAGTGGAAGCGCTCCCTCCCCCTTGCCGGAGGGTGCTGGGTACAGACACGGCAGCACTGGGTGGCGGGTGGGGTGGCACGTGCCCTTGGGCTAAGCGAGAGCTCGCATCTGCCCTCCATTCTCCGCTTTGGGCAGCCCGGACAACAGTGTCAGTGGTCTGCACCCATTTACGGTTAATGGGGGGGGGGTGGGATTTTGGTCCCTTGGCTGCTCTGGCTCAGGGGTCTCAAGACCTTCTGCTGCTCCGGGGTCCTATTCACTACCCCTGGGCAGGGCTGGAGCCAAGCGATTGGCCTGCCGCGAAGAACAGTGGGGAGTTGACTGCGTTTGGTAGGTAGGAGGAAATGAACGCTCCTTCTTGATAACCTCATGTCTTTAATTTCCTGTTAAATGTTGTTCCGATGACTGGGCTGCGGGTCTCCCGACCGGCTCAGGGTGTCACTCTCTTTCAGCATCACAGGGGAGGGAGATGGGAGGTCTCTATCTCAGTGAAAGAGGAGAAGGCCGAAACCCCTGCAGGTGTTAGTGTGAGCGAGGCCTCCTCTTTCAGCATGGGGATGAGAGCTCTTGGGGAGCTGCTTGCATGGCTGGGTCTGCGCTGGGTGGGGCCTCTCGGTTTTCTCATTTTTTGCATGCGGGATTCCTGCGGGGTTCTTGCCCCTCATTCGGATGAGATTTCAGGGAAGAGAAGTGGAGTTCAGGCCCTGACGGAAGCTGGTCTCGGAGAGCCGTGTGGGCGTCCTGGGCATTCACTAAAAGTGGTCCGGGGAACAGGCGCCCCTCTGCTGTCCCAGTGTGGTGTCGAGACTGGTGGCCCTGGTCGCCTGGGAGGGTGGGGGACGCACACATTATATCTTCTGGCTGAAAGAAACAGAAGTGCAGGCCCCCCACGCCCCCTTTCTTTTTGGAATCTGTAACACCGTGACAGCATAACAGCACATGTTTTTCTTTTCTAAGGAAGTTGTTTGTTGCCTGACAAACTCCTGTTGGTCCTCGTTTAGTCAGTGGCTCTGTTACCAGGCCGCCTGCTAACGTTTCCTGCGCGCAGGCTTCAGTTAGACCCCGTACCGCCCCCAGCAGCATTTTGAGAAATGTGTCAGCTGGGAGATTTGCGTTCCCGAGTCAGACTTCCTGCCTCTAGGAATTCCAAATTCTTACCAAAGGCTTGGAGAGGTTAGCATTTTTCTCGTCCCGTTTCTGGTTACTGTTGTTCCCCTCTTCGTCTGAACTGCTCTGGTGAGGCGAAGGTTGTGACCTTTATGAAAACGCCCGGAATGGACTGTGACCTGCAGCTCCGCCTGGGCCAGGTTGCCCCCGCCCCCCAAAATGAAGATTGCCCTGGAAGGAGTGCGGTTGTTTCTCCATCCCCCAAGAAGGGCCGCTGTGGGTGCAGTTGGTCTCAGGCTGCCTCTGTGGAAGTGGCTGGGTCTGTGCTGCCCAGCTATGGGCCCCTGCTCCGCTCTCCACACACCTCCTGCGGTCATTTTTGTCAAGAAGCCAGAGGATACAAAGCCAGAGCTGAAACAGCGTCCCATTCATCGAGAGCTCGTGGGACCGTCCGGGTGCCCGAGCCTGGGGGTCTGGATGGGGCCCCGGTCCCAGGTCCTGGCGGCCTTCTGCTGGGCTGACGGCTGCTGCCACGGTCCTAGCTCGCACAGCTTCCGGTTCCCTCGGCCCTTGAGCTTGAGCTGCATGTGCAGGGTCAGAACGTGGTCAGCAGGCTGTTGGCCCCTCCGCGTGCGTCGGGCTTCGGCCCCGGCCCGCACTCTGCTGCTCCCAGTCCCTCTAATGGCGTGTCTCTCTCTGTGTGTATGTGTGTGTGTGTCCCTGCCCGACAGCGCCCGAGGCCTCGCTGTGTCCCCAGCACCGCGCAGGGGCCCCGCTGGGTCAGAGCGAGGAGCTGCAGCCGCTGAGCCAGCGCCACCCCTTCCTGCCGCACCTGGGGCTGGCCTCCCGCCCAAATGGCGACTGGTCCCAGCCCTGCCTCACTTGTGACCGCGCAGCCCGAGGTGGGACGGCGGTTTGCTTTTCTCCTTCCTAGAAATGCGGGGCAGCTTGCTGGGGGTGTGCTTGTTGGGTCCAGTACAGCCAACTCTCTCCCTGTCTCCTCCTGGGCCTCTCGGTCCAGCCTCCCGCGGACCCAGGGCCCCTGTCTTGCTCTCTCCCTAGGCGCTCCCCTCTAACCATCCTGTGCCCCTTGCTAGAAGTTCTGCTGCCATCTGGGTAACGCATGGGGTGATTGCCCATGCTTTCCCTGTATCCCCACACCCTGAAAAATTGGAGGGCGCTCTGCAGTCGGCCAGACCCAGGAGTGGTGGGGGCCGGACAGCACTTGGCTTGTTGAGCCAGAAAGGTGCGGTTTAAATCTCACAACGCCGGGCAAAGCCGGGGGCCTCGGTGGACAGTCGCTGGAAGCCATCGTCCTTGATGCAGTGATCCATGCCTTGGTGAGGACAACATGGGATTGTTCTTGCTTCTCAATTAACTTCTGTCCTTCCAGAAATCCCCATTACTGTGCTAAACAGAGAGTTAGCTGTACTGTCAATTCTAGGTCACAGTGTTTAAAGATAACCTAATTCAATGGGTAGCTAAAAGTGGGGCTTCTCTCTTGACTAATTAATAATGTATCCTGGTCAGAGTCTACAACTGTTGCAGGTTAAACTGAAAACCGATTTTTTTCCTGTTGCCTACCGGAAAATGTTCTCAGGCTAGTCAAACCCCCAAGTGGGGCCCTGCTACAGAGAAGAAAGCCGGCTGTTCTCTTCTGCTCTTACGAGAAGGGGCACCAACGAGGAGCCTTTGTGTGACTTCCCCGATAAGGTGGCCGGCCTTTATTCAGCCCTGGAAGCCGTTCCCTTTGATTCATGCCTCATTAATATTACAGCTTGTTTGACTTGGGTATGTGTGTGATCACTGTAGTTCGCTCTGGGATATTTTCCTTCATGCTCCTGTGTTCTCCTCCCCGTTTTATACGGGATTTTATAAGGAGGACCAGCTTTGCACTGCAGAGAATGCAAACGACCACAAGTGTGTTTTGAACGATCATCCAGAGGCCCTTGAGCTACACACCATTTCTTCCACCAGATCTTTGGGGGCTGTTCTCGGCAGGTTCCCAGTGTTCCCCAGGACTCCGGGGTCCATTCAGTAACTGGGAAGTTCTGTTTTGAGTCTTGGGTTCGCTGGCGTGCAGATTGGCTTTCCTGGGCCCTCTGCATATTAACCTCAGGCCCACGGCCTGCGCCAGCCGCGCTGCCTGCCCCCTCCCTCCTGCTGTGGCCAGGAAGGACCACGCCCTGTGCCCCCAGGCCGGTCTCCGTCCTGTCTGGTTCTTTTCCACCTGGGTGCCTCCCCTGCACACACACGTCTGGCAGGTGGCTCCAGGTACACAGCTCTCGTGGCTGTCTCTTCTCCTTCGGCTTTGGTAGAAATGAAGGATCAAAACGAGTAGGTCTTTTTTGACAATTTTTCATGTCCCAGAGGAGTTTGGGGCAGAGTGTTACATGGTGTCAACGTTTTTCATCCTTTGTTTAGCGTGTGCATCTGTCTCCATATCTCACACCCTGCCCATCCTGGAGGCAGTTGGGGGGAGGGCAGGGCCTGGCCCGTGACGGCTTTCTGTTCTTCTTTAGCACTTATAACCAAGTGTTCAGTTTAAGTTAAGTGCCAAATGTACGCACATCAGAGGATTTCCTTCGAACGTGATGGCTCAGAATGCGGCAGTGGGGGAGTCAGATGGACACTGGCCGTTCAGGAAGTGGTCTCGTGAGATGCAGGCCGAGATGCCGGAGAGACGTATCGGAGACGCACCCTTAGGAACCCAGACCCTGCAGGGAGGCCTGGGGGACACGGGTGAAGACTCGGCTGGGGGGCGGGGGGAGGCAGACTGTGGAGAACACCCCTTCCTGGGAGAGCAGGCGCTGCGGGGAGGCTCCTCACGCCTTAGCTGCTGTTCTGACCCAGGGAAATCATGACGATGTTTGAGGGGACCTTCCTGTCATGTACCGTTACCCGTCTGATCCTCCCTGTGCCTCCTCCCCCGCCCTTACCTCCCCCATACATCTGTAGATCTGATGTTGGAAACCTCTCGAATTCTGTGCCTTCATCTCTAGTTCTGTGACCTCAGTTCAGTGTCCGCTTTCTGATTGGTTTCCTTGCTGTTAGCCTCCCCCATTCGTGTCCACCTTCCACCTTGACGGGTGATACGCTGAGCCTGGGTGTTGGAGAGCTCCTCTGGATTCCAGGGGTCTCCCAGGATCCCAGGATCCAGTTCAGAGCCTTTGACATGGCTGACAACGCCCCTGATGGTCCTTGGCTGGCCTCCGTCAGCTTAAGTGTGCTGAGGTCTGCCTGGAGGGCCGCTCCCAAGCTCTCCGTGAAGCCCGCCCTGGCTGCACTCTGGCTCCCGCGTTCCCTCGCGTTCCCTCGTTCACTCAGCAAATGTGTATTGAGTTCCTGTTGTGTGCCTAAGCACAAAGGACAGAGCCGTCTGCCCTACTCCGGAGAAGAGAGACAATAAACCTAAGACATGATCCAGCATGTTACAGGACGAGTGCTCTGGGAAACAGCAGACAAAAACCAAACAACCCAGTCGAGCATGAGGAGCAAGGAGGGTGGTCTGCAGTGTTAAGGAGGGTGTCAGGATAGGCCTCTTTGAGAACGTGATGTTGGAGCAAAGGTCGAAGGGGGATGAGAAGTGCGCTGTGTGAAGGTTTGGAAGAGCATTCTAGGCAGAGGATGGGAGCAGCCATGCAAAGGGCCTGAGGTGGAGTGTGTTCAGGGGTGCTTGCAGACCAGGAAGGCCCCCCGGGTGGCTAGAGCTGGGTGAGGCAGAGTGGCAGGTGAGGTCAAGGGCAGGGGTATGGCAAAGGGCGGGCCTGGCGAAGGTGGAGGGCGGGCCTGGCGAAGGTGGAGGGCGGCTTCTCAAACTGCCTCTGGCAGGGAGCAGCTCTTCAATTCCTGATGTGCTCAGACTGATACTTTTGTATCTGTATGGATGTTTGTATCAGATTGCTCTCAAGGTTTCTAACTACTTTCTCTCACTGCTTTCTCCTCCGGCTGTGTCCTGGGTGGGGAAACCTTACTCTCCTTATCCAGGTGGGCGCTGGTGGGGCTGTGGAGGTCTGGAGAGGTCTTAAAGGAGAGCCAGCAGGCTTGCTGGAGGACTGGGGGGGGCGGTGGGGGAAGAGTTGAGGACTGCTAGCTGAGCCACTGGGAGATGGGTGGCTGTGAGTGGAGCAGGTTTGAGCAGAGGCGGGGTGATGTTCTGGACATGTCAGAGTGTCTACTGGACATGCAGGTGCATGGAGAAGGTCTGAGAATTCTAGGGCCTGGGGGAGAATTCTGGGCTGGAGAGGCCTTCACCTCTTTGGCCTCACTTGGTGTTCACGGTTCCTTCACATTCTTGTAATCCCTGGTGACCTGGCTGCCCTCCCCACCCAAGGCTGGGCCCTGGGCTTGCCTCCGTTGGCTGCCTACATGATTTTGGCAGGTATTTGGTGCTCAGGACTGCTGTGTGCAGGGGAAGCTGTGGGGCCCAGGGAAGGCCTTTCGGGCTGAGAGGTTGGGGTTTTCCAGAGACCACACAGACAGGGCAGCTGGCTTGGGTGGAGCGGGGTATGAGCCACCTGCCC